CCCCGCACTCCCGGGGGTCCCGCCGAGCTCTCCCCCTCCCCGCACTCCCGGGGGTCCCGCCGAGCTCTCCCCCTCCCCGCACTCCCGGGGGTCTCGCCGAGCTCTCCCCCTCCCCGCACTCCCGGGGGTCTCGCCGAGCTCTCCCCCTCCCCGCACTCCCGGGGGTCCCGCCGAGCTCCCCCCGCACGGAGCGGGCACGGCCGGGGCTCGGCCCCGCAGCTCCCCAGGAGATGCAGGAGTGGATACAGAGTGTCGGGGGCCGCCGGAGCAGGAAACACAACACCGCAAACGCAGAAAAACTCGGTAACTCACCGTGGAACGCGCCGTTGTCCGCCAGGAAGTGCCGGCAGTACTGCAGGCAGCTCTTCTTGTCCAGACTCCAGTAACTCATCGTGAGCCAGCTTCCCGCTCACCATCAAAGGCTCGGACCCTGCAAGGAAAACGGGAATGGGTAACTGGGAATTAATTTACACAAAGTGCCTCCAGCTACTGCAAGCACTGTAATTATTTGAGCCCTTTATGGAAAGCGGCCCATTGGCTTCACAAAAAGGTGACAATTGTAGTTCTTGGCTCTCCAAACGTGCCCGTCCCCGCGGACACATCGCCTGCTGCACTGGTGCCACCAGCCAGCGACTGCCGGGGTGCTGCAGGGAGCAATTGACCCCTCTGTCACCATCATCCCTCCCCAGCCACCGCAGGCCACTGTGGGGCCTGCAGAGACGATCAATTTATTCCATTCCGTGATGCTGTCCCATATTGAACAGGCTACGGACACGTCCCGCAACGCCACGAAACTATAAATCCTCCCCAAGTGAAGGTTATAATAATTAAAAAGGTGACTCAAAGGTAATCACCCCTGGTTTCGAGAGCAGAGCAGAGCTGTGAGGACACAGACATTGCCCTGTGGCACTCGGGATGAAATCGCCCATGGACAGGCAGACTGAGCCTGAGGAGGAGCAAAAATAACACTGATGGTGACAGGCAGACACACCAGCATTTCATACTTCTTTGAAGCCATGGAATTCTTAATCTCCTGTCCTGACACCAAATCCTTTCACTGGATCCTCCTTCTCCCTTTGCTATTTTATGAAGTTCAGGTTCTGGTTTCAGCAATCCAGACACCCCTTCCTGTTACAAGCCCACTTTGGTCTCCCGTTTTATCTCCCTCCCACCTTCACTCTGGTCAACCCAGCTGCTTGCTCGCCCACACTTGGCACAAACAACTCCGACTGTCTTTATAGCCAAGCAATTCTAGCAGGATGTAAGGACAGTGCCACCCAAATCTCCTCATAAAAATACTGCCAGGGGGTCTTAGTAACAAACCCACCCCCGAACGAAGCATCACAGCACATGAAGTGCTTGGCCTGCAGCTCTGCTGAGGGACACAGATCCATTTCATTCAAAACAAAAAAGGACAACAAATAATGTGAAATCCCAGCCAACGGGACTCCTCTGATCCTTAATGACCAATTTAGCTACAATCATTTCCTGGGGTGCAGCCACCCCAGGCACTCAGCTAACCAGGGAACAGAAGAACCTGGAGAAGTTTTTCCCTTTCTGCAGTAACTCGTGCCTCAGTGTCAATGTTTATTTGACTTGCAAGCATTAGAGACCCACAGGGCAGTCCCAGTGTGACACCCGTGCTGTTCCTGCCCCAGGCTGTGGCCGCACAGGGATTTGCCTCTGTCAGGGGAGCGGGGATGGTCGGGATGCTCTGCCGCAGGTGGGAGCCACAAACACCTCTCCGTGCTTTTGCTCCACCTTAAACCATCCCCAGGCTCCGCTGGGGGGTGTTTTGGGTACGGCCCGTGGGTTGTTTACACTAAAAGTGTGTTTTGCCAAACTTTGGAACCCAAGCAGCAATACCCACTACCTCTGCCAGGCTTCACCTTCTACATTTCCTGCACTTTCGCCCCGGCCACCCCACGAGCTTTCCTTAGAGCCGGCACTAAGGCCGCTCTTCCAGCCCTAATTCGTAAGGCACAAGCTGTTAGTTACTGTTAAAGCACAGGAGTAACACCACAGTCCAGCCTACTGCCAAGAGTTTTGCTTTAGGCTACAGCAGCGCAAGAGGCGTCGCGTTTTAATTAAGGAAACCGTATCAAATATTCACCGCGAAGAATTTGCACACAATAAAAGCAGATCTTATCTCCCGCGCAGCTCCCACACAGAACCCGGATCACAGGGGAGATTTACAGGGAAATGTGGATCCATCCCTGCAGTGCCTCTGAAAGAGCCCCTGAGCCCCCTCCCCTCCGTCTCGCCCCGCGGCTGATACAATCCTCCTTTGTTCTTGCACAAAGGCTTCTCCCACACCACGGTGGCCCCTCGGAACAAAGGTTCTCCCGGGCACATCAGGGATGAAGGCAGATTCCCGAAGGGGCTGCATCAGCTGACACAAACATCCCACAAGAAAACTCTCCCAAGAAACACCAGCAGTTTTTTGGATAACCCCCGAGGTTATTTACTTTATAGGATTCCAGGACAGCCCAGCCAAGATCATGCCTTACTCTACAGTACAAAAAAAAAGCAAACAAAATCCCAACCAACCCCACACTTGGGCCAAATACCATCATTTCAAAGGAACACGCACTTAGGAACTTAACTGTACACAAATTTGCATCATTTCAATACAGGAGAAAAAGAACATTCTGTCTATGCCAACGACTGAAATGTGGGCTGTACCTGTATCACTTATTTTATACACGCAGAATAAACTATCAGAGTAAAAAGTGCCCATAAAAGCATATAATTAGGTTTAATTAGGACTGTAACTATTTTGGCAAAAAGTTACCAAAATCCTGACCAGATATAAATCTGAGTTCAAACCCAGCTTGATAAAGCAGCCAATTCAGAGAGAGCTGAAAACACTCCTCACTTTTCCACTCTGCAGGTTTCTCAGCTTGGGGTATCATTTTCACAATAAGCAAAATTGCTGCAGGTTCAGCCCTGAGCCTGCCACATTCATTCCAAAAGGTAAAACCTGCCTGAGAGCAGAGATGCTACTGCAGCATCAGGAATCCATCTGCTTTGTATCTGGATAAAGTGTATTAATCTGGAAGTTGAGCAAGCAGTCCATTATGTGCTGTGCAAAAACACAGCACCTTGAGAGAAGTGGATCTGCTATTTTTGCTGATTATTTTCCATTAAACCTGTCAGCTGCCTTATTTTAGTGCTTTGAGCACTGTGTTCCATGAGAGACACTTTTCCAAAGAGCTTTGATTAGCTGCACAGAGCTGTACTTTACAAGAGAGTTATTAATGGAAGGAAATTGATAGTGCTCAAGTTATTAATGGAAGTAAACTGGTATTGCTTGTCATTAATAGAAGTAAGCTGATATTGCTCAAAGTTTGATGCAAGGAAGAAGTTAACTTTACCTATTCACGTGTATATGCATGAATGAACAGTGCAGATACAGACACATGAACAAATATCTCTTTGTTATCAGAAAGTGGGTAAACTCCTCACAGGCAAAGTTTCATTCTGTACATGCTTTATGGAGTGACTTGAGTGTAGAAGTTGTGGAAATGAATGTGTAAGGTATCCTGGATGCATGTGCCCTGCCTGGGTTGGGAGAGATGCTTCTCACAGCAAGAGGCTCAGCACCAAGGAGAACATCTGACCCCCCATGTCTCACTGTATTCTGCAGGTTCCCCTTTCACACAGAAAAACCCTGTGCCCTGTGCAGGGAATTCCCTCGTTCCAGGGACTCACCAGGCTGTCACCAGCAGCTGCAGGCTGAGCCACACTCAAAAATTCTCAGCTCAGGCTGTTGGAAAGGCTCAGCACAGAACTGTCCTGGAAAGCAGCAGCAAAATCCAAATATTTATCTGCAGCGTTTAACCTGGACACTGAGCAGGTCCCCAGTGTGAGGAGAGAACAAGCACACGGCCAGGAAGGTGTTTGAGCCTGGGGACAGCTCTCAGAGCAGCTCCTGAGAGAGTTCAGGGGCTGAGCCCGCTGATCCTGCCCCTTCTCCCCTGCCGGTGCCCAGAGCACTTCCACAGCGACAGCAGGGACTCCACCAGACACCAGGGATCATTCCTCAAGGCAGGAATGCAGGACACTGGCACTTCCCTCAGACAAAACCACAGCTCCTTTCAGCAGTTTCAGAGCTCCTATCTACCCAGTGAACACACGTGGGAAGTATGACTTAAAAAAAATGATTCCTTTCCTTAGCCTCAAGTGGGGGATAAAGTTAATGTTCCTGGTAATTAAAGGGAAGTCCAGAAAACACTGAATATTGAGCAGGCTACTGATTTTGGAAGCTTATGCCTGTTAATGACAAATCTTAACATGAAAAATAGTTCTGAGATACTGGGATCTACAGTTGACATAAAAGTATAACAAAATAATAATATTAATTTTTAACAAGGTAAGAAATGAGAAGAGCAATCCGGAGTCACACAAAGGCCACCCCAAGTGTGTGGTGGAAATAATGCTGTGATGGAAATGATGCTGCATTGGCCCCAGCTATGGCCAGAGCCCTCTGCTGAGCTTTAGAGATGTCAGCATGGCAGGGAGGACAGACCATCTGGCTGGCACTGAGCAGCAGGAATAGAGCCCAGAGAGAAAGGCTGGGTTCAGTGTGGCAGCTGGGATGGTGCTGGGGGCATGCAGCATCTCTGATGACACCATCTCGTGTGGGCAGCTCCCTCCCAGTCACTGCAAGCAGAAAATAAACACCAAAGGACAAATTCCACTTGGAACTTCCCCTGTGGAATCCTGGAGTGGTGCTGAAAACCTGAGCAACTGAGCTTCACAACAAACCCTCAGTGTCATTAGAGGGGAGGGAGTGAAGAGCCCCATCTGCAGTTTGAGTGAGCAAGATTCTCCTGCTCTCCTCAGGAGCAGAGCAAAGGCTGCCCAGAGGGGATTGCTGAGGTTTCTCTACAGTTTCTCAGCTCCATAAAGGAATATTCCACATCAAGCTCTACATCCTTTCCCATCAGCACCCAGCAGCCTGGCACACACCGTGCAGAGCACACAGACTTCTCCAGGACATGCTCCCCAGAGCCCAGGGCTCGACCCTGTGTTACACTGATATTGCAAATATCAGCACTGACCAGAGGCTGAGCACTCATTTCCATTTCTGTTCACATCACAAAGTGCAACCAGGAAACTTTATACCCCCACCAAGTTCCTTTCCCGGGACCATATTAAAACATGCTGCAGGTTCTCTCCTAGTTAATCAGTAGCCATCAACAGGAACTTCCCAATCCATGTTTTTACTTTCTAACCACAGTGACAACTCTGGTGGAACAACCCTCAAGCTTCCAGAGACCAGTTCTGAGCAATATGGGCAGGATTTTTTTAAAACAGTATCCACAAACCAAAGAAGTTCTTGGATGAAAAGCTTAGCCATAACTAGACCAAAAAAATAAATCTGAAGGGAT